AACATATATTCGAACTTAAGCGTCCATTAAGATTTGACTTCTGGCCACCAATCTATTAGAGCTATCCTTGCTTATAGGTGAAATATCCTTAAGGACAATAACTTACACGTCTCAAGCTTTAGAGAATCTCTTAGTGTTTCTGTGATTGTACAACAAACTATACATTTAGTGATTTTAGTCTTTAACTACATACTTATTGATTTTAGTCCTTTAAGTATTCAAAAACTTATCAGGATTGATCTTTGTATATTCTTTATAGAAATAACATTTATATTGACGAAACTATTGTGAAATTAAATCTTTAAGCCATTTTTTAGTTTTTTCTCTAAGTTATATTTTTTCAAATTACTCTTATGAATGAACAATAACCTTAAGGATTCAAAATAAAATTAATGAGGAAAGAAGAGACAATTCTTAATTTTATTCGGTGGAGAATAAAATAAATTATATAATTGTTGCTAATAACTTGAATATGTTTTTGTATAGTTAAAACACTAAATCTAGTAAGCATATAGTTAAGACAATTTCCAATTCAACACAAAATTTTACAAATATTTTTTTAGGGATAATGCCCAAGTACCCCCTTAACCTATGCCCGAAATCTCAGAGACACACTTATAGTATACTAAGGTCCTATTACCCCCCTGAACTTATTTAATTAATAATTTTTTACCCCTTTTTAGCCAACGTGGCACTATCCTGTGGGCCCAACGATGGTTGACTTTTTTTTCAAACTAGTACCACGTAAGCTAAAAGGGGGTAGAAAATTACTTATAAAATAAGTTCAGGGGGGTAATAGGACCTTAGTATAGTATAAGTATGTCTCTGGAATTTCGGGCATAGGCTGAGAGGGTACTTGTGCATTTTCCCATTTTTTTACTATGAAATTTGACGTTTTGGAGCTTCAACCCTACACCAAATCACTTTTTTCAATTATATTATTATTTTTATTATTACATAACTTTTACTTTATATTTTCTTATTTCATAAAACAGATGTTTTCTTCTATTTCACATATTAACGCTACCATAATTCATATTCTTTTCTAATAATCATTCAATATAAATTATTACTTTTTTAAATAATATGCATTGCTATCTAATATTATACATATATTATATATAATGATGGACAAGACAAATAAAAGTGAAATTCTCGATGAAATATACGTCAACTTTAAGATAAGAAAATATAATTAAAATAAAAATACTATATAAAAATAATTAAATTTTAGTAGGAATTTTTTTTAAAAAAAATATATAAATATTTGTAAAATTTAATGTAGTAGGTTGGAGTTGGTGTACACTAAAATAGTGTTGAGACCATTTTAGTATAAAATTTGATGTTATGGGTTGGGAACATCCTAAAGGACCAAGTGAAACTTACTCATAGCTAATGCGGAACAATTTATGACATTTCTTGAATTGAGGGAGGATATTACTAATATCTTCTTTAATCTTACAAGATACCAGAGGATTTCTAATTCAAATAAAAAATATTTATCTATCTCATATTAGATGGACGTATTCTATTTCGCACAATAACTAATAAATCATTAATAAACTAATATTCAAATGCCCCCTTAATCTATTATCGGATTTTCAACTACACACTCATACTTTAGGGAATTTCATAACTCATCCCCTACCCCCCCCCCCCCTCTACACATTTTTAAAATGAAATATATAGCCCCCTAAACTCAAATTTGTGTTAGAAAGACAATGTACTCGCCCTTGTCACGTAATATATATTATTTTTTAATTAAAAAAATTATTGTCTTTTTCTTTATTCGGTTTTTCTTTTGTATTTTTTTTCTATTTCCAACCCTTTTTTTCTTTTCTTTTTCTTTCTTCTCTTTTTTTTCCTTGACATTTGTTTGATAAAACTTTTTCTGCTATTGAAGAGAAAATTTCAAATTTTATTTGTAATAATTTTAAACGATGAAAATCTCTCTTTTTTTCTATCCTATTCCATTCATCGCTACTGATCGTTGATACTGTAAAAGTAGTTTTCTTACTTTTTTTGTGCCAACTCATGATCTAAACGATTCAAACGTATACCCTAGTACATGTTCCTCGACGCTGAGGGAACCCCCGAAGAGAAGGAGATTTCGTGACATTTCTGATTGGTTGTCTTGTATTTTTAGTAAGTTATTTAATAGTCGGCATGTTGAATCGTATGCATAATATGACGTGTTGGTTTATATTGATTCTAACGAAATGATGATGAAATACTTCTATTTAATAGAATATTCAATTTGAAGATAGAATCTCAAATCTCTCTCGACACGGAGAATCTCTCTTTTTAATACGCAATGTCAAGTAAGAATTCCAATTCAGCTTGTTCCCGGCTATTGCATCTTTCCTACCACACTACTTCAACAACTACTTCTTAGTGACTTACTACCCTACCACCAAGACTGGCAAGAGCACCGGATGATTTAACACTATCCCAATCTGTAGAAAGACTACCAGCATTGGCTCTTTCACTGTTGGAACAACTTCTTCTCTCATGCTTCCTAAATGTTGCTCTTATAATTACTTAAGAACAAAAAGAATAGCCATTAATGCTTATCACAGTAATGAAATGTGCCGTTATGAAATGTCAAGTTTTATTATTGAAAGGTGAAATTATAATCTTTGATAATCTTTCATTTTTTCCCATTGATTGATCTTTTTTTCACCATTTTCATCTTCCTTGCAAACATTAAAAGTTTATCAATCAACCCAACTCACTTCTTCCTTCATACCATTAAGATTATCAAGTATTACACCATTAATATATATATATATATATATATATATATATATATATATATATATAAAACTCAAGTTTTGGAGGAGTTGACATGTTTCATGTTTTCATCATCCATGACTGCAACAAGTGTTTTGAAGGGTAAAATATGGCGAGAATTTTATTCCTAACCATTTCATCCGTCATTTGATTGATACTCAAGTTATTTTCATGGATGAATTTGTCGAATTCTTCAAATTGAGGTAATGGATACATAACAATGAATCTTTTCATATCTATCTATTTTTAAAATCGCATATGAGTTTTGTTTTGAGAACCCAAAATTCTTTCTGAACATGAATTTAAGTTATTAAATTAGGGCACGAAAAAAATCAAGACAAGAATTTTCTAACCTATTTGTCCATGTGGTTAGGCATGTAAAATGATGATTAACAATTTTAATAATATTAATAAAAAGTTGATTTTCAAAATTTCCTAAATTCATGCACAAATTGAAAAATTAAAATTCTAGAATCAAGAGGAATAATTAAATCACATGTTGAATCCAATGAATGTGACAGTCACTGCAACTTAGAAAAGTTGAAAGGTGAAGAGATTTGATTTATGTTGATGTGAAGAAGAAAGGAAATAAATAAGAAAAATAATAATTAAAAATACATATTTATGAAGTGAAATTCTAAAAATAAAATTTTATCATTTGTTTTGATCCTCACTCTATACACTCAGCATTTAAAGAGTAAATTATATAAATTTTAAATTTTTCAAGGATGATATAACACAAATAAAGTTAGAGTGTGTAATTGAAATTTTAGGTATAGGCTGAGGGGCTTTAGGCATTTTCTCTAAATTGAACTTTATTATTTTGTCCTTTGTTCATAATTAACTTTTTGAAAAAAGAAATTTTTTGTCTTTAAAATTTATTTGGGAAAAGGCATAGATTTCCCCTTGAACTTGTATCGAAAAGTCATTTACACATTTCAACTATCATGACGACCTATTACACACTTTTACTATTCAAAAGTGATTTTAATAGCACCCTGCTATGTGCAACACCACTCTCATAGTATGTGGTGTGTCACATTCGCTGACACGTCAGGGCCATATCAGAAATTCTACTTTTTTTTATTTTTTTTTACTTTCTTTTCTTTATTTTCTTAAATTTTATTTTATTAATGGGAAAATACACAAGTACCCCCTCAATCTATGCCCGAAATCCCAGAGACACACTTATACTATACTAAGGTCCTATTACCCCCCTGAACTTATTTTATATGTAATTTTCTACCCCTTTTTAGCCTACGTGGTACTAGTTCGGAAAAAAAAGCCAACCATCGTTGGGCCCACAAGATAGTGTCACGTAAGCTAAAAAGGGGTAAAAAATTATTAATAAAATAAGTTCAGAGGGGTAATAGGACCTTATTATAGTATAAGTGTGTCTCTGAGATTTCGAACATAGGTTGAGGGGGTACTTGGACATTATCCCTTTATTAATTATAGTTATATTAATTAATTTCTAATCAATTATTAAAAATTTCTAATAATGCTATCTTCTTCATTGTAAAATGGGAAAGAAGAACTTTTAGCAATGACCACCAAGGAAATTACACGTAATCTGGAATTGATTTCGGAGTGAAAGAACTTTTTCATTTTAAAATGTACCCTTAAGAAGGTTGCTTCATGTTCTTACATTGATTGGCCATGGAAACTAAGTTTTCATTGTTATTTGTTGTGGATTTTAGTTGTAAATTTTTCAACTCGTTATTTTTTCATGTTCTTTCTGGAGATTTTTAAAAAATAGAGATAATAGAAAAATAAGTTTCTTTCCATTTTCAATCGATCACTCAATAATAAAAAATGTCCGCCAAAGCTCAATCAATTGAAACCTTTTGAAATATAACTCCTTTTTAAAGTAATTTATTTTTTGGTTGTTTCTTGTTAATGGAGTGTGAAGAAGATGAAAGGGTGTGGTGTGAAGAAGAAGTGATGTGGGGGGTTGGGTTTACGAAATATTTTGATTTTTTTAATTTTTTTATTTCAATAACAATGCTGTGACGCGATTTTTTTAAAAAATTATTATGAAATTTTTATGATAATTTAAACGTATAACTAATTTTTCGATACAAATTCAAAAGGAAATTTATGTCTTTACCCAAATTTATTTCAAACTTACAAAGACCGTAGGAGTAAAATTGAAAATAAATAAATAATTAATTCTATCTTAGTAAAGACAATAAATATAAATTACAATTTGGTCATCATTGAGAAATTGACGACCCACCTAAAGCAAGCAGCAATCGAAGGATCCAAAATAATGATGCAGCTGGGTGTCAAAACGTCAGGTACAGCAGTAGCTTGCTCTCACTTCTTATCGCCTCGCGCATTCCCTCCTACCGCCATCGCCATCACTCGTCGCCATCTCAAGCCGTACTGTTTGTATCGTTCTATCAAAATGTCTGCTGAGCAAATCGTCGAACATGTGGTGCTCTTCAAAGCCAAACCTGATGCTGACCCTTCAAAGCTTACCGCCATGGTTAACAACCTCAACAGCTTGACTTCTCTCAATCAAGTAGTTCATCTCAGTTCTGGTCCCCTTATTCGTGACAGATCTTCCTCTTTTTCCTTCACTCACATTCTTCATTCTCGGTACAAGTCTAAGTCCGACTTGGCTGATTACTCTGCACACCCTGACCATGTAAGTGTTGTTAGGCAGTACGTCTTGCCGGTGGTTGATGACATCATGGCTGTTGATTGGGTTCCGATTGAATTCTCTGGTCCGACTGGTGTGCCGCCTGGTTCAGCGATGAGGCTGACGTTTCTTAAATTGAAGGAGAATTTGGGGGAAAATGAAAAATCACAAGTTTTGAGTGCGGTTGGGGGAATCAAAGAGAAATTTTCTGGGATTGAACAGTTGACTGTTGGGGAGAATTTTTCTCCTGGTAGGGCGAAAGGTTTTTCGATTGCTTCAATTGCGGTTTTCAAGGGAGTGGATGAATTGGAAGCTTTGGAGTCGCAAACGGAGCTGGCGAATGAGCAGAAAGAGAAGGTTAAGGAGTTTTTGGATGGTGCTGTTGTGGTGGATTATGCTGTTCTTCCTACTCAATCAGCTAGCCTTTGAGAAGGTTTATGATCAGTAGTTGAGGTTATTCTTGCCTCTTTCTAGAGTTAATTGCCCTATGTACTGATGATTTGCGTTTTAATATGGCTAAATAAATTCAGTTATCCGTCAATTTATGTACTGTTTTTGTATCTTGAACTTTTCCAGATGTTTCCTTTTCATTATAGCATTTTCCCATGCTTGTCATCCTATCTAGTATGAACTTTCTAGTACTATTTAGCTTCAGTAGCCATACATGAAGGTGACTGCTGTATACACTGCAATAGTGATGTTTTAGCAGGTAGTCGTTTTCCAGGGCACAATGAACCAGATTTGTGTGTTTGTTCTCACAAATATTGTTTGATTACGCAGGCTATAACACTTGAAGGAAGTGATAAAAGGATAGTTGAAAGAAAGTTGAAACTGTGAAAATGACATTCAAAACAATATGGATCATCTCCTGTCATTAAACACCTCTAGTAATCTCAGGATCTACCATTTCTAGTAGACGACTTCATTTGTACATTGATTTGAAACGTATTGTTGTTCTTTTGACTACTAGATGCATACAATTGAGTTGTAAGAAGTCCCGGAAGAACCACACCGAATGCAAAAACATCACTTTTATCATTAAGTTGACTAGATCAAAAGTATTCACTGTACCAGTAACAGTATGTGCCTCCAACTTGTGTTGTTAAGTGATTCTTTTCAAGAGGAACGAATCTTGGAAGCCAAAATCAGAAACTACATCTTCATAATTCTCGTCCAACAATATATTACTTGATTTGATAGCACAGGGATGAAAGTAAGAAAGTGCCCCTGCTATTTCTCCAACAATTCATAAGCAATGATCCAAAGAGAGTGTGATTGTTGTTGTCCTTGAATCACTAGGAAAAGCCATAGAGTTTCCATAAAGAAAAATAAACTGTATTCAGGCAATATTTTTGACTACATAGGTAAGAAGTGTCAGTTCTCCTCATTTTGTATTTGAATTAACTACTGACTATCTTAGGACTTGATAAAACTATTTAGGAACTTTAGTATCGGTTGAAAACTGTATTTTTTTCTATATAGCATATCACAAGTCAGAAGGACCATTGTACTTCAATCTTTCTAGTTTTAATTTTATTTAGGCACCTCAGACTTATTTCCGGTGCATCTATCTACTGTTCCTTCCCCCGCTTTGTCTACCATAATTCCACTTTCAGTTTACCCCACTACCTCATGTAGCTGATCTTATGTTTTTCCACATACTGTCTCTTTTGATTGGTATATATAATTGAAAGTGCAGCATCTTTTAAGTGGTGACAAGGGTATTTATTGTTTCCATTGAAAGGGTTGGCTGATGTTGATGGATGCTCAACGGCTTCTATAACATGACAATTGCGTGTAGTAACTCTGCTTGGTTGTTCTAAAAACAGAGCCCGGTATAGTAATCAGGTGTAGAAAAGGATGCTCCACAACACTGTTTATAGTAATGTTCAACTAATTTGAATTATTGAAGAAATGGATATGCATCAAGCATGATATAGTTCATTTACTTCTTTTGCAATATAGATGTTAATAAGAATTGTCATATTTCCTGTTATAATTGCCTGGACAGCTAAATGTATTAGTATACCCCACTTTTCTAACTGAAAGTACTCCTGTAAGCCAGTTGTTATTTCTGTTCACTTGCATCAGTAATGAAATATCCATTGTCAAAATGAGGAAAATGTGTCTTCGTAGCATAGACATTAAATAATTCTTATAGCAGGATATGCTATAGAATATAGATAGTATCCAAAACATCAAAGGACAAATTTTTGAGCTCAGAATTCACATTCTTTTTCCCCTCATACGAGTCCAATGGCGAACTCCGATGCAGATGCTCAGGCAAACTTGGCTGTAGAACTTGCTGTTGCTTAAATTCAGGAGGAGATTGAGAAATAGCAAAGGGGCACTTGAAAATGACTTAACATTTATCCTATTTTTGCCAATACTAACAAGTAACAACCTTAAATGACTATGCCGATGAAGATAGTATAAAGTCGTATACTATCGTTCATTGTTAAATGAACTAATGTTATGTTATTGCAGATGGGAACTATTGTTATGTAATTGCAGATGGGAACTATGTAAATGCATGTAATTATTAGGGATGGGATGGGGCACGTACGAATAAGGGGGATGGAATGTTGACCACATGGGGAGAGGATCTTATAATACAAAGACTAGTAACTAGTCAAGTGATTAAACTTAGTCGTTTTGATCAACATAAATGCAAGTTGACTGGGTTTATTTGAGGTTAAACTGACTGCGACCATCATAATTGGCAGCAACACCAAATGTTACTAATCGTTGGCTATGGGGAAAAAGACATATTCAGTATGCCATGCTAATGGGTGGCGCCAATGAGCACATTGAACTATCCATGTGGTTGAAAGTTATCCCAAACACAACAAGAAGGCAAAACAGAATCAATCTATCTTGCTCTCCACGAAAGCAAGTATATATTCACCATTATTTATCCAAAAATAAAGATATAACAAGCTTTGAAGTAATTTATCTTGGGACATGGAAGTTTGAATTTGTATATTAGTTAATCAGCCCCAACAATTATATTTTAATACTAATATAATATTTGCTACGTCAAAATAAATCTCACATACAACTAATATATCATATTAATATTAAACCGCCTATCCACGGTTTTTGCTTTATTTTATTGCACCTTTATAGAAAATTGTTTGGTCCTAGTCTTTAATCAAACATATTATTTACTAATTAGCTCTTTGTCTAGACAAAAAAACATATACAATTGTTGCCTTATTCTCCAAGATTAGTTCATCCTCTGTCAACATCTTATCTTAGCCAACAAGTAGGTTTGACTAAATTTCAAAGGCCAAATGTTGGGAATGGGTATATATAGTGACCAATCTCTTATGGTGGTTATCTTAGAATTCAAACTTCAAGTAGTCCACTTTCTCAAGACTGATGGCAAATCTAGTAGTATTTCTTTCTCTGTTAGTACTATTTCCCTTGCTTATATTAAGCTATTTTCTTGTCAAAATTTTCTACTCCATCTTCATGAAACCAAAATTGCTGGAAAAGCGCTTGAAGCGGCAAGGATTCAAAGGAACTCATTACAAGTTGTTGCTTGGAGACCTCAAAGATGTTGGCAATCAAATGGATGAGGCATGGTCCAAGCCAATTAGCTTAACTCACGATATTGTGTCGCGTGTTGATCCCTTCACTCATTATATGGTCCAAAAATATGGTAAGTTGATATGATTTTACCACTATTGTCTCACGTAGGTATATATCCATAATTTGAACTTTATGAATATTCTAGGACAACGAACTCAAGTATTAGTGAGTGAAAACTCCACCGGTGTAATTTGAAACTCAATGTTGATTCACTTGAATAATTCTTTTTAATTACTAAGTATGAGCTAAAATGAATTTGGTTGCAGGGAAGTTATCTCTGAGTTGGCTCGGAACATCACCCAGATTGATCATCACGGATCCAACACTGATAAAAGAAGTGCTCTTAAATAAGCAAGGCCATTTTCATTTACCACCATTGAATCCTCTTGTATTGATTCTTACTAAAGGATTGACAACTCTACAAGGTGAAAAATGGGCTATGCACAGAAAGATGATAAATCCTGCTTTCCACTTGGACAAATTGAAGGTTGCTTTTTGCAACTTCAACAATGCTCTTTTTTGTGGCTTTTAGTTCAACTTACTCAACCCAAGAGGATATATATATATATATATATATACCTTTTGCTAGAGATTACCTAGGGGTTAGATGACTCTCTCAAAGGAACTTGACAAAGTAGCCCTGTATATATAATGAATAGATGTAATCAGTCATCATAGAGCATATTATACTCATTTTGGTATGTGTTTACAGGGAATGATCCCAACAATTGCAGAAAGTTGCACGTTTACGATAGAGAAGTGGATGAAAACAATTAGCCCTGAGGGGACTTCAGAAATAGATATATGGCCCGAATTTCAACAACTTACCGGTGATATCATTTCAAGAACAGCATTTGGAAGTAGCTTCGAAGATGGAATGAAGATCCTAGAACTACAAAAAGAACTACAACAACTTGTGTTAGAGGCTATGGGAATGTTATATATTCCTGGCTTTAGGTAAACTTCCTTACAACTATAGCATTCAACTTTCTTACCTTCAAATGATTCTTCTTTTGTTCTGAAAAGTAAAATCATGATATACAGATTTGTTCCAACGAAAAAGAATCGAAGAAGAAAGGACTTGGATAGAAGGATCACTTCAATGCTTAAAAAAATTGTGGACACAAAGGAGAACATGATCAGAACAGGGGAAACAAGGGGAGATGACTTACTTGGCCTGCTGTTGCAATTTAACAATGAGAATAATTCAGTAAATAATAGTCAGATGACAAAGGAGGACATAATAGAAGAATGCAAACAGTTTTACCTTGCCGGTCATGAAACAACATCGAGCTGGTTGACATGGACTCTCATTGTGTTGTCTATTCATCAGAATTGGCAAGAGAAGGCAAGGCAAGAAGTTCTACAAGTTTTCAGGGAGAAGAATCCTGATGCTAAAGAAATAAGTCACCTCAAAATTGTGAGTGTACATCTTTCGAAACAAATTCAGTTTGGCTTTTTCATTTCTACATGGTTAAAATTATTTTTGTGTATATACAATAGATGTTGAATCCTCTTTGACTTCTTCATATGTTTACTTTTTTCATATTTTGAACCGCTGAGTGAAAATCTTGGTTCAACCATCGCATGAATTTGAGAAACTCTTTTCTTTTGCAGGTAACCATGATACTTAATGAAGTGCTCCGGCTATATCCACCGGTGATTGCCTTGTACAAACGCGCTTACAAAGAATGTAGAATAGGGGATCTCTCTATTCCAGCAGGAGTGGATCTGACACTACCTATAATGCTAATTAATCGCGACATTGAGCTATGGGGTGACGATGCAGATGAATTTAAACCAGAGAGGTTTGCTGAAGGAATTTCACATGCTTGCAAAGATCCAACACAGATGGCATTCATGCCATTTGGATGGGGACCAAGGACTTGTGTTGGTCAAAACTTCTCCATGCTAGAAGCAAAGATTGCACTGTCTATGATACTAAAGCAGTTCTCCTTTAAGCTCTCACCAACTTATGCTCATGCTCCTTACACTGTTATGACTCTTCAACCCCAACATGGAG